GGTTTCCGAGGGTGTAAATCTTTATGGGAGTAGAAAGCCTCATCTTTCTCCCGCGGAGCAGCTGGTAGTTTCGAACCACTGACCTTAAGGTTCACAGCCCGATTCGTAACCACTACGCTACCAGAACTCCTTGTGGAAAGTATAGATAAGAATATCGATATTTTTCTCATGAAGATAGCTTTAGGAATATTTTGTAATTCAAGATTTAAATTAAATCTATTTTCTCTTTTATAAAAAAATTCACAAAAGGATTCTTTCAAACTTAGCAAACATTTAAATAATCATTTGATTCATGCAAATTTTACTTCAAGAACCATACATACCATCTGGATACAACTTCAGTAATAATTTTACCTAAATCTCAAGTTTTATACATAGGAAGTAAACCTAGAAATGTGGATGGCTGGAAGAGCCAGAGCTTGAACCCAGCTCTTCAGACTGCCAGTGTAGGACTCTTTCTCCAAACTGTGCTAGGTTAGAATTTTAAGAATATGACTCAGAAGAGAGCTTCATAACTTCCTTAGTCAGAGTGGGAAATAAGTATTCTCAAAAACTGAACAATCAAGAGTTGGTAATACAAACATATTCTTTAAGCACAGTAGATAAATACCAAAACATTCGGTTTAAAAAGGTAAAAGTGGTTACCACTGGGAAGAGAAAAATGAAAGTGGGAAACTGCTGCTTTTCTTAGCTTTGTAAAATTTTGCCTCCAAAATAGGCACATATATAAAGTTTACACAAGTTAAAAAAAAAAGAACTACTAAAGAAACATTCACTCAAACTTGCAAAATCACTAACTACCCCTACACCACTACCCCCACACCATATACATGTTCAATTTGCTAGAAAAGATTTTTAGGCAGTCATAGTATTGGAATAGGGTTGTAGAGACTCCCTTCTTTGCCAAGTATTAATCTTCTTGTTGCTTGACAGTGGAAGTAGCCTGGAGATTCAGCGAGGGGCCTGGACAAACTGGAGAGGAGACACAGGTTGAGAGGGAGCAGAGGAAGGAACTCAGGGATATCGGCAGCTGTTTATCCACAGGTTCAGATGAGGCTCAGTATTGTGCCAAACTGTACAGTCATGCTGATTTGTCTTAGCTGAATATCAGCCTGGGTCAAAACAGCAAGGAGAATTACTTAAGGGAACAAATATAGTGTTTTTACTTGGAATATTGCCTATTTAGTTTAAAATATGAAAAATTTAAAGCCAAACAAAGATCAACAAATTATTACTCGAGCTATATCTGTGACTTTCAAATAAATACTTGTTATATGAAAAGTATATCTTGAATGCATTTTGGAAGATTAAAGTGTTAAGAGGGCATAACAGCAGAGTGGTATAAATTTCTAAGTATGTGTTGATCTTATGATAAAAAAATTTATTGTTAAAATAGGAAAACTTATCTAAAGAAAAATGTGTATTAAGTTGGATGATTAATGGGTACTTATTTTATTAATATTCTTTATGACTTAAAAATGTTATACTTCTTCTTTGGATGAATCTAATATTTTATAATTGTTGTTGTTAAGTAGAAAGGGAAAAAGTAAACTTTTTAAAAGCAAGTACGATAATAGAGTAAGTGTTGCAAAATCCTTTTAGATAAAACAAGTACATAATTATAATATTTTAAAAATTATGTTCTTTTGTAGTTTAAAAATCGAGGCCGCTGGCTCCATTGGAATGAATTGATTAAAAGTACTACTTTAGGAGATAAACATGTCAAGATCCAAGATATCATAGTCCCTACGATAGACACAATTAGATACACATTTCTAATGGATTTGAGCATTACCTATGCCAAGTAAGGAACTCTGCTGTGAATGTGTATTCTAAATAGCAGGTTTTAGTAGGGATATTAGGTCATCTACTCAAAGCTTGGTGTTCTCCTGAAGTATTATACTAACCATGATATACATTCTTCCATTAATATTTAGCATGTTTTAAATATGCTCTAAGGCAGTTTAGATCCATAACTCAAGACGAACCTGAAAAACTCCAACTGAAATCAGAAAAGTACAACAAGAAGAGTACATAGAACAGATTTTAAAAACTTAGCTGTGTATCTATACCAATATTCTTAATAACATTTTGCAGTTGTATTGCTTTAAAAATTTTAAGCATAATGTTTATCAAAAATACAATTCAAACTACATGTCTGTTACAATTTGTTTGTTTCTGAATTAATTTTGTGACTGCTTATCTTGCTTAGTTAAAAAAAAATATACAAGAAGAATCATTTCTGAAGGGAAATAATTTTTTATCCCAATTTTTACCTGTCCTTGTATTTCTCTATTTAGTTGTTAATATTAAAGACCAGCTAGGCAGGTGTCAATTCTGGAGAATTCTTAGTATAGGAGTTCTTTTGTGCCCTGAGCCCTTTATCAGAAGAATGCTTATCGGACGAATGCAAACAGAATTATAAAGGAAGCCACTTATTTTATAATATCTTTATTAAAATATGAACACATTTGGGCTATAGAAGTAGTATGCATGCTTATTTATTAGCACATTAAATAATAGGATTTAGCAGTGGATAGGATGACTGTATCACAATTTTAAAGAAGTAATGGCATAAGTGATGTTTTGAGATATCTGTAACAACTGCGATGTTTAATATAGTAACTATGTTTTCTATTGGTAGCAAAGATACAGATACTGTAAATACAGTTGTAACATTTTAGTTGAAGGACAGTGTAAATGAAGATGGAAACTTTTTGCTGTCCAAGTTTACAGATTTCCTGAATTCAAAGTAGTGCCCTAAGTGATCCATGAACCCCAAGCTGTCAGCAATATTTTGTTTATTAAAGTTTTTTAAAAAATAGTTTTTCATAAGGTGAGTGTTAGCTGGAACCCAGAGATGAATTCTCAGGGGTGACCTAGTTCTAAAACAATTTTATCTTTGTACTTCAGTGATCATTAAAAATATAATAATATTAGCATAATTTAGATCAGTTACATGCTGCCTAAAGGAGCTCTGATAGCTTAGTGATTATGCATCGGGCTGTTTGCTAACCTCAAGGTCAGCAGTTCAAAGCTACCACCTGTTCTACGGGGGGTAGATGAGGTTTTCTGCTTCCATAAAGATTTACAGCCTTGGAAATCCTGTGCAGGGTCATTGTGAGTCGGAACCGACTCCACAGCACACCACTGCCGCTACTGGATCAACCCATGCTATTGAGTCAATTTCAACTCACAGCAGTTATGTATAGGGTTTCTGAGACCATAAATTATATCTTTCTTCCACAGAGCAACTGGTGTGTTTGAACTGCTGATCTTGTGGTTAGCAATCCTTATACTACTACTCAATTTCAGTGCCAACCTTTTTTGTGTGTGTTTATGTATTATGTGGTGCCAAGTTGTCACTCAAAGTGACAACCTTTAATTTTTAGTGTGGCATTTTTCAAGCTGAGATTTCTCCACAGTTTGTGAATATAAACTCATGTATTCTTCCCCCACTTTTTAAAATTGGTTATGACCACTTTCAGCTTGCTTGAGGCCTCACTGAATGAGAAATTCCTTAGAATTTTCTTTTAGAGAAATATTTTCAGTTAGCAACTTTGACTTGATTCTAAAATGCTATTAATAGGTATACATAATTGTTAGCTTTAAAATTCACTGGCATTCAGTTTATCATAAAAATGTTCTATAAAGATAATTGTGTAATAGCCTAAATCTATATTATTGTCATCACCTTTTATTATATTCTACACAGTCATTCTCATGCCTGTACTGGGAATTAGAAAGTACAAACATCACTTTTTGAGGAAATATGCTTTTGCTCCCTATTATGAAAAGTTACATGTTATTACTCTTTGTGTGTGTGTGTGTGTGTGTTTAATGTGTGTGTGTTACATAGTGAAGTTACATCAGTTCACATAATGGTGGTGATTATGTGCCATGTATGGAGTCGGTTCCGACTCATAGTGACCCTATACAGGTTTCAGAGGCTGTCATCTTTATGGGAGCAGAAAGCCTCATCTTCCTCCCGTGGAACAGCTGATAGTTTCGAACTGCTGACTTTGCGGTTTGCAGCATAACCACTATGCTACCAGAGTTTGTTAATATTAAAGTTTTTGTAATACTAGACTTTGTTAATATTAAAGTAGCTGTAATATTAGAGTTTGTTAATATTAAACTCACTGTAATACTAGAGTTTGTTAATATTAAAGTCGCTGTAATATTAAGCAAAAAAGTGCTCCAGTCACTACTTTCATCAGTGTTTCATGAAACGACATGTAGTTTTTAGATGAAGATGATTTGATCATTATTTAATTTTTGTCATCAAATTCAGCTTCCTTTAGTAGCAATGTATTCTAACTTATTTTTCTCGTTTGAATAATATGTTTATTGTTTTCATAAAGGCCACTGCTATTTGTGGGACCAACTGGTACAGGAAAATCTGTGTATGTGAAGGATAAGCTAATGAATCATTTGGAAAAGGACCTGTACTTTCCATTTTATGTTAATTTTTCTGCTCGGACCAGTGCCAATCAGGTTCAGGTTGGTTTAAAGCCAGAAATACAGATCTATAATGAATAATTTTTTTGCTTCATTTGATAAATGCTTAAAAGTATATAAATATATTGAATGAGCAACTGTATAAATATTCAAGAGTTTAATTAAAACTTTTATTTAGAAAGTTACAAGCAAGCTTTAAGATTAAATTTTAATGACAGTTGTTAGAATACTTTTTGCATTAATATTGAATTAAGTTTTGATATATATGTATATATATATATATATATTTAATGATTTATTGTGAATTATGTGATACTTTACATGGAAGAACATTAGCTTTACATTCATTGTATCATATAGCATTTCATTGCCATGGTTACAATCCCCTCCATGCATCATCAACCAACCAAAGGGTATACCCTGCAAGCCTGCCCTCCCTGGTCGTCAGTACACAGCCCCTCTCCCTCTTTGAGTCTAGAGTCCCCAGCTGCTCCATCTCTACACGCCATCATCTCTGCTTCCATCTCTGGCATCACTGCTTCTCTAGGTAGGGTCCCACATTCTGCTTTTCTCCCTTGATGGTCCCAGGGACCTCTGCTCCTAGACTGCAAAGTCAGTCCCTCTCTTCCTTTTGCTACAAAACGTGTACCTTTAATTTTCAACCCTCACAGTCAGTCCTGATAACTATTATCCATTATTGTATCAGACAAGACCTATCCGCATCTCCTTTCACCAGCCCCGCCCAGACAGATTGGATATTATTCAGTGGAGATTCTACCTTCCTCTGCACCCTTTAAATCTAGGCTCCCTCTTGAAAGCTTGTAAGCCAGTCTCTTCTTGCCTTTGTAGCCCCACCACCCATTTTGGGTAGCCAGTGTCCAAGTTGCCCATCCCTGACTGCTCTGTGGGTGGAATGATCCATGCTGTAAAGATTTGTTCCCTTTTTTGAGCTATTGCATCCATAGGTGTAGGTCAAGTTCATCAAATTGTATCAGATTACTGTTTTTTCCCCTCTTCTTTCTTCTTCTAGTTGAGCTCTGATCATCCAGTCATTGAAGCCTAGTCAAGTGGGTATTATGTACAAGTGGGGCAGTTCTTGTGCATATGCCCTCTCTTCTTATCGGCTGGACGATTCACTCTCCACTCCTGTCCTCTGTGGCTATGTCACTGACTCTGGGCCCAAGAGTCCCCAGGTCTTGCCACACTGTTGGCCAACCAAGTCTCCACACGGGTTCACAGGAGTCTATTGAACATTGTAGGGCTTAGCTCACAGCTTCATTGCTGTTTTTCCCTCATTTCCCCTTATCGATGATGAACGTGGTCACCAATCAGAGCGTGTATTCCCATTGAGTCTTAGTCTTAGAATGGGGTTTGCCATGAGGAGTCCCAGGGTTGGCCTTGATGTCTCCTGGGCGAGTATCTAGCTTGTTCTTGTAGTACTCAGTCAGACTGCCTTTATTGTTTTATATTTTTCCTGTCAGTCTTTCTTTCAAGAATTATTTTCTGTTCTCCTAGCTGCTCCAGACTGGTCTGCTTATCCTTTCAAGTGGAAATTTCCCACCTCAGAAGATACTGGATGGGGTTCAGGATTCCACCTCTAGTCTTATGTAATGCACTGGGCATGTTGTAGCCCCATTTTAGGTATTCCAATCAGTTATAGGCAGAAGAAGGACTTACAAGCTTTCCATGGTAATGTTTCTGGCTACTCCTTTCTCTCCCCCTCCAGTGTCTATTTTATAATGGTATGCCAATGGAAAACAAGATTCAAAAGACAGCCAAGCATCTTAACATTATTTCCATCCTTTTGTCAATACCAACCATGTCTCAATCCCTGTATCCCAGAGCCCTGTTGTTCCAAGGTTGTGCATGCATCATTATTTACCTCTGTCCC